AGGCTGATACAGAATAATTATGTACAGGGTGATACAGAATATACCATTTACAGGGTGAAACAGAATATACCATTTACAGGGTGAAACAGAATGTATTCTATTTTCGTTTACAAGATGATACAGCATTTTTCACATATCATTTACAGGGCGATACAGAGTATATTTATTTCGTATATTTACAGGGTGATAAGAATATATATATAACTTTAAACCTGAGCAACACTCCCTTTAAACTTTAGCATCCCTCCCTTTAAACCTGAGCAAACATACCCTTTAAACCTAATTTGACAATCCCCTTAAACCTCAGCATACCTCCCATTAAACCTTACCATCCCTCCTTTTAAACTTGAGGAAACATTCCCTTTAAACCAGAGCAAAATTCCCTTTAAACCTGAGCAACACTCCATTTAAACCTGAGTAAACACTCCCTTTAAACCTGAGCAATACTCCCTTTAAACCTTAGCATCCCACCTTTTAAACTTGAGCAAACATTCCCAATAAACCTGATCAAACACTATTTTAAACTTTAGCAAACATTCCCTTTAAACTAGATCAAACATTCCTTTTAAACCTGAGCATTCCTCCCTTTAAACCTGGGCAAGCATTCCCATTAAACCTGAGCAATACTTACTTTAAACTTGATCAAACACTCTCTTTAAACCTGATCAAACTCTCTCTTTAAACCTGATCAAACACTCTCTTTAAACCTGATCAAACACTCTCTTTAAACCTGATCAAACACTCTCTTTAAACCTGGGAAAACCTTCCCTGTAAACCTGAGCAAACATTTCCTTTAAACCTGATCAAACATTCCGTTTTAAATTGAGCCAACACTCTCTATAAAACCAAGCAATCATTCCTTTTAAACTTAAGCAGACACTTTCTTTAAACCGAGTAATTCATCGTTTACACCTCAACAACACTCCATTAAAACCTGAGCAAAAACTCCCTTTAAAGCAGGGCAAACACTCCCCTTAAACCTGGGCAAACAGTCATTGTAAACCTCGGTAAAAACTCTCTTTAAACCTGGGCAAACAGTCATTGTAAACCTCAGTAAAAACTCTCTTTAAACATGGGCAAACAGTCATTGTAAACCTCAGTAAAAACTCTCTTTAAACATGGGCAAACGCTCCCTGTAAACCTGAGGTAACTCTTCCTTTGAGCGTAAACAAATATTTTGGATTGTACATATAATAGTGCATTTGGATATTAAAGATTGTTTTTATTCCAAACATTAATATGTTTAATAATATTTAAATAACTAGGCTTTCAGGGCGCTTCGCGCAGATCTTCTGTTTTAACTTTTAATAGTTGCTCAATCTTTCAGCATTTTATCAATTCGATCAAACAAAAATGAAATTTGTTTTGGATTTGCAATTTTTTGTGCATTTTTAAAATTTAACGATTATAAGAAATGTTTTGAGACAACTTTTTGCAACTGTGTGCATCCGTAAACCTCCCATGGGGTCATGTGAGGTTCCACACATGACAAACGGAAAAAACAAACAGACAGACACCCAAACAAGCAAAGTATATATATATAGTTTAAAGGATTAGAAGAAGAAACCAAATTTTTCTTGAGAAAATATAAAAATAATTTTTTTACTCACCAAAATATTCCGTTCTCTAAATTTATGGGGACTTTCTTCTCTTATTAAAGGGTTTGGATTACTAAAAAGTAAATATTTTGAAATTCTAAACAATTTTTTTTTATTAATGTCAGTTCGTCGTAAATATTAATTGAAATAGAGTAACCTTTTACTTGGTTGGTGATTGGTCGCCATATTGTGAAAAATACCGAGGTGGCATTTTGATTTAAAGAAGCTTCATATAAAAAATTCAGTAAAGCTTTAAATTTATGCATATAAACTCGTTTAGGTAATTAGAAAATCAAATCAAATCAGATTGTTCTTTTTAGGCTTTGGGGTAAACATGAAAAATGGAACTTTATCTTATGATTGCCCATTATAAAATCCGTTCGTGAAAGGTTTGATAAGCTAGCCACAAAGTAATTTTTCGATGATTTCCATCAGATAACGGCCCCATAATTTTACCATTTCATGAAATGTTTCTGATTTTCAATAATGTTCTCATTCTTGCTAATTCTTAATATTTACACAATGTATGGAGTATAGACCCCGAAAAGAAAATTCGAGAGTTTTAAACAATAATATTCGCTTACATTTCCAGTACTGAGGGAAGTAATCCTAATGGTGTAAACAGAGACATTTTGATAAAAGAGAAACCATGGTTTTAAATATTAAAGGTCTACGACATCAGGTTGCAACAATATAGATTTAAAGGCCTGTTCAAGGATCACTTTTAATATTTTAATAAAATACAAATAATTTTTGTATTACACCTTGATAGATATTAATATATATTATTTGTGATAACGTCCAATTTACAAACAAATATCAGTAAAAAATCTTTCAAGTTCTCAATATAGAACTAAAATATGAAAAACATCTAATTGTCAAAATATGGTATTTTCCTCATGCGCAATAAGATGAATATGTAAACTGAAATGGAACTGAGTTTTTTGCCACAAATTCTGATTTTCAAATCGCTATATCTTTTCAACCTGATAGTGTTAACCTTAGATATTTCAAACTATCATTATTTGATCTAAAAAACATTCATAGTTTGAAATATCTAAGGTATATAAAGATCATATAGAGATAACAAAATCAGAGTTTGTGACAAAAACTCAATTCCTTTGTCAGGAAAAATGCAAAACAAAATAAAAATAGTTTTTCAAATATTTTCCTGAGGGACCACTTCAGCATTCTATATATTTTCCTCTTTAAGAAATTTTCTATTTCTTGAGAAAATGTTATTTTTATTCTTTCACAAAAAAAATCAATTAAGTCTACCATCAGCTTTTTGAAAAAAGCGGAGTTAGTGGTATTAAAACCCTTCTTTTTAACATTTTAACCTAGTAACTTCTGTATCACTTCACAGTCGTGTTTATTATACATCGTTGTTGATTGAAAACTAAGTATTTAGGTATTATTAGGCCTGAATCTGGCTCTAACTGCCTGACTGCCTGAACAAGTGTTACTGGACCAGGCCTACTGTATATATATATATACATAGATATACCTTGATATTGCCTATGTAAAGTAAAACAAGGAAAAAATATCCAGACATTACGTAATATCTAAAAAACAGTGTAAACTAGAAATAATAAGTTTTAAAACCACCAAGATTAAAGATGTTTAGAAACCTCCCTTGAATTAGCATATTGTTATTGTTCACATAATACAGAAGTTACGTGAATCAAATTAATCTACGTGTTTGTACCCAGTCAAATTATATGCAACATGTAGAAACGACTTCTGCTCTGATTTACATTAACTCTAAGTACTATAGTTCTTTATATTTTTGAAACCTGATGGTGTAAACCAGGGCTTAAGATCCATTTCATTTGATGCGGATCAGGTTCCAGGTAATTTCTTTAAGTTTTACTAATTTGTGGAAACAAAGAGAAGCTGTCAATTTAAAAGCTTCTCTTTAATTACTTGAGATTTCTTGTAATTCGTTAAAAGCTTGCTAACAATTAAAACTGTAATATAGCTTAAGTTAAGGAAAGTGCAATTAAAAGATCGCTTACCACCGTATCTTAATACAAATTTTTTAACTATGCGTCATCGACATAAAAACACTTGTAAACTGAAGATAATAATAAACTATATTCATTCGAATTCAAATTTGGAATTTAAGAAAGCACGAAGTATTAAAAAAAATAAAGACGGCTATCTTAAAAATACGAAAAAGTGAATATTAAAAGCATATTTATAGACCGGATTCAATATTGAAATAATTGTAAAAAGGTACAAAATGGAAAGTGTAGACAAGGAAAGGAGGTTAGGGAGGAGGAGATCGGGATTGAAGACAAGAAAAAAAGGTTAGAGAGGGGGAGATCGAGATTGGAGACAAGGAAAAAAGGTTAGAGAGGAGGAGATCGGGATTGGAGACAAGGAAAAAAGGTTAGAGTGGAGGAGATCGGGATTGGAGAAAAGGAAAAAAGGTTAGGGAGGGGGAGATCGGGATTGGTGACAAGGAAAAAAGGTTAGAGAGAAGGAGATCGGGATTAGAGAAAAGGAAAAAAGGTTAGAGAGGAGGAGGTCGGGATTGGAGACAAGGTAAAAAGGTTAGAGTGGAGGAGATCGGGATTGGAGACAAGGAAAAAAGGTTTGGGAGGGGAGATCGGGATTGGTGACAAGGAAAAAAGGTTAGAGAGAAGGAGATCGGGATTAGAGACAAGGAAAAAAGGTTAGAGAGGAGGAGATCGGGATTGGACAAGGAAAAAAGGTTAGAGAGGGGGAGATCGGGATTGGACAAGGAAAAAAGGTTAGAGAGAAGGAGATCGGGATTGCAGACAAGGAAAAAAGGTTAGAGAGGAGGAGATCGGGATTGCAGACAAGGAAAAAAGGCTAGAGAGAAGGAGATCGGGATTGCAGAAAGGAAAAAAGGTTAGAGAGGAGGAGATCGGGATTGGAGACAAGGAAAAAAGGTTAGAGAGGTGGAGATAGGGATGGGACAAGGAAAAAAGGTTAGAGAGGGGGAGATCGGGATTGCAGACAAGGAAAAAAGGTCAGAGAGGAGGAGATAGGGATTGGACAAGGAAAAAAGGTTAGAGAGGGGGAGATCGGGATTGGACAAGGAAAAAAGGTTAGAGAGAGGGAGATCGGGATTGGAAAGATGGGATGGTGGAGAATAGAATGCAAGGGGGGGGGGATCAAGGAAAAGGTAGAGGGGATGGTATACAGTATCAGAGAGGAATGAAAAGTTTGTCCAGGAAAATGCAAAATTAATAAATGGCACGATCAGCACCATATACGGAGTATGTATTGGATTTTTAGTATTTGATGCGACTGCTATAATTAGCGTAAAACTTCAAGGACCTATTTATGAACCAACAGGAAAAACAGATGCAATACTGAATTGTGTGTGTGTGTGGGTGGAGGGGGTGTAAACAATAGTATCGTACTTACCACTATTCTCTTCCTGAACTCCTCAGGTTTAGGGAATACAGCCCACTTGAGCATTCTCACTTTTCACTTTTCAGCATAATTCTGGCACTTAATCAATCCATATTATCACTTTAAATCTACATTCTATGAACTTTATGCACCTGAGTTTATTACTTATCACTTCTTACTTCAGCTAAACGGCGCATTTCTTTTACAAGGAATTGTTCTCCACGAATAAGACGACATTCTTGTTCATCGTAAACATAGAATTCACTATCAATAATATCTATAGAGAATGTCTACTTATTTCCATCTTTACACTCTTCTTTGTTAAGCTGGCTAATGCAATCGGAAATCTAAAAATAAAAAGATGATTAATATAAAAAATAATTTTACAAGTTTTATCTATTTAGTAACGTGATTAAAAGCTATTTAATTTGTAAAATTCCAATTTGTAAATTAAGAGTAGAGATATGATAAGGATGAAACGTGATAACCTTTTTTAGATTAATTCAGATGTTAGTATCTCCTTTTTTTAGGGGTGGGGGGCGTACTGGTAAAGCTAATTCTTCAATTACAAATTAGGATTGCATAACTCAGACAAGAAGACGACATTTAACAAAATCTTTTTATTGTTTAACAAATTCCTGTGTTTTACTTTGGTAACCAATTTTATGATACGAATTCATAAATCGATATTTTATAAATTGATGACTGCCTTGACAAAGATATTATTAAAACTACAGTGATAACCAGATAACTATGGAATAGGAAGACGACATACACACACATCTACACAGTTTGTTTTTAATCTTTGTGAAAAAACAATCTCAAGAACTGACGAGGGTCAACCAAGACCGAAATATATTTTCAATAAATGTGGAACTAACATCTACTTTTTTACTCTACAGAGGTTTGGTCCATCACCATCATCGAATTTTAAATTATAGCAATATAGTGTATGTGATGGTGTTACAAAGCAAATGGTTTTACCAGACACTTATTTTGTGAAATTGGTCTTTTTAAACTGCACAATTATTGTGTTTCGTCGTCATAGAATTTTTAAAAATAAAACTAGATTCTAAAAGTCGTCTTACTATTCCAGAATTTTCTGGTTATTACTGTAATTCCCCATTTTTTACCCACATCAATATCTTCACATAATCAAATACTTCAAACTCTGTACAATGAAAACCTATCTTTATAAGTGTATGGAATAGAAAGGCGACATTTTTATGTGAGTTTAATGTTACTAGGCTTTTAAGGCGCCTCGCGCCCATCTTCTATTTCAATTGTGAACATGTTCTCTTTGTGTACGTTCAAAAAATTTCGTGGATTTTAGAAATTTTCAAAAATTTAATAAAAATCGAATTTTGATGGAGGTTAATTTTTAAATTTTGTTCATTTATAAACCTTCCCTTGGGCCAGGTGAGGGTCCACACAAAATTTGGGCCTGATTGGTTCAGCCGTTTTGACGTTTATTGGATACAAACAAACAAACAGACAGACAAGCTAAATTTATATATAGATTATCAGACAAATCATAACTGAAATCCAACAGTCGTATTCCTTTTATGAGAATTTTGTTGTGGGTAACTCTGCATCTGACTTAATAATATAATATGATATACTGCAGTTACAGAATTTATGAGTACTTTGTTCAGTATAGAATACATACATAACAGTTCCGTGTTTTATATTAGTAAACCAACCCTGTGGGGGGTACTATAAGGTACAAAATGGAAAGTGTAGACAAGNACAGTCTACAGTCTACAGTCTACAGTCTACAGTCTACAGTCTACAGTCTACAGTCTACAGTCTACAGTCTACAGTCTACAGTCTACAGTCTACAGTCTACAGTCTACAGTCTACAGTCTACAGTCTACAGTCTACAGTCTACAGTCTACAGTCTACAGTCTACAGTCTACAGTCTACAGTCTACAGTCTACAGTCTACAGTCTACAGTCTACAGTCTACAGTCTACAGTCTACAGTCTACAGTCTACAGTCTACAGTCTACAGTCTACAGTCTACAGTCTACAGTCTACAGTCTACAGTCTACAGTCTACAGTCTACAGTCTACAGTCTACAGTCTACAGTCTACAGTCTACAGTCTACAGTCTACAGTCTACAGTCTACAGTCTACAGTCTACAGTCTACAGTCTACAGTCTACAGTCTACAGTCTACAGTCTACAGTCTACAGTCTACAGTCTACAGTCTACAGTCTACAGTCTACAGTCTACAGTCTACAGTCTACAGTCTACAGTCTACAGTCTACAGTCTACAGTCTACAGTCTACAGTCTACAGTCTACAGTCTACAGTCTACAGTCTACAGTCTACAGTCTACAGTCTACAGTCTACAGTCTACAGTCTACAGTCTACAGTCTACAGTCTACAGTCTACAGTCTACAGTCTACAGTCTACAGTCTACAGTCTACAGTCTACAGTCTACAGTCTACAGTCTACAGTCTACAGTCTACAGTCTACAGTCTACAAGTCTACAGTCTAAGTCTACAGTCTACAGTCTACAATCTACAGTCTAAAGTCTGCAGTCTACAGTCTACAGTCTACAGTCTACAGTATAAAGTCTACAGTCTACAGTCTACAGTCTACAGTCTACAGTCTACAGTCTACCTACAGTTTACAGTCTACAGTCTACAGTCTACCTACAGTCTACAGTCTACAGTCTACCTACAGTCTACAGTCTACAGTCTACAGTCTACAGTCTACATTCTACATTTTCATCAACTCCTAGCTCTTTCATGGCCTTATTCTACTTTACGATGAATATTCTTCAAAGCACTGCAACTAATTTGTTCCCAGGGCTCAGGTGGCTGATCATCGCGGATTTTTTCATATTGGGGATTTGCTAAATTATAATCTGTTCAAAAAGTCCCAATTTATAGTGGACAACCTTTAGTGCATTAATTAAGAAAGGTGAAAGCTAAAAGGTGGTAAAGGAAGCGTTTAATTTAATAGAGTTTGTTGATCCCAGAAATGATTAGGAAATTTAAATCAAACCCAGCTAAAACCCATAATTTGATATGAATATGGTTTTGCATGGTCTACGGAGGGAGGGGGGGGGGTAAAAAAATTGGCAGGAATGAGCGCAAAACTTTAAAATTTACCCCCCCCCCTCCCCAAGAAAATCCTTATTTACGACCCTGCTAGAGTGTTAAGTCTGCTATTTATTTTTTCGCCAAAAGAAAAATGAAATCACCACTTAAAAAAAATATTTCCATTTTGTTAACTTAATGCAACTTTCTTGATCAAATCACTGTTTCAAATTAGAATTATGTATAATGCATTGGGTAACGAGATCGCGCCCTGTGGTAGTGGCGTTAATAGTTTACGGAATTGAGCCATGTGGATTGTGTCCTGTTTGATATTCATAGCGAACGGATTGTACATGGACTGATACAGTTCGGGAAGAAACTTTAAGAGTACGGCATTTACTATAAACCTAAGGAAGCCTTTTTAGGTTTGGTATTTAAAGTGCAAAATGAGTGTTTGACCTTGTCCATGTCGTGTTCAGAGGAGTAAAGTGTTGTTTTTAGGTTTCCTAATGGTTATGTGGTTCACTGGTAATTGTGTATGATGGGGTGCTTAAATATTAAAGAAGGGAAGATTAGGGGGGGGGGGGCGAAGTTGCCAACATATAGAAATGAGGAACTACATGCAGTGTGATAACCAGAAAACTCTGAAATAGGAAGACGGCTTTATAGCAATACTTAAGTGTATGCGATGTTGTTACAAGGCAAATAGTTTTACTATGAACACTTATCGAATCACTAATTTAAGTAAAATGGGTCAGTTAACACTTCACGATTGCTGTGTCCCCATGCTCATTGGACTATTTTCAACTCATAACTATCATCTTCCTGTTTCATACTTTTCTGGTTCGTTGGATATAACAATACAATGGTGACGACTTTCTATTTTAATTTAGATATCTATCAAGCTTTTAAACAGCGCGCAAACACTTAACATTGTCCAATAAAAGGTTCGCTTTGTTTACATGTAAACTTGTAATTTAAAAAATATTTGTCAGGGATTAAAGAATAATTAATAAAAATCGTCTTTATTATATTGACATAGAATTCAGATAGATATTCAGCTAGATAGATGATAGATATATAGTCGATAGATAGATAGTTGATAGATAGATGGATCAATTTCATGCCTCTCATGCTTAATTTTACCGCCAAGGGCGTGGAACTAGTAGGGCGGAGTTTTTCACCAAGTATTGAGTTTTGCAGGAAGGGTAGGGTGACCTTTATTCTGTGTCCTGTTATAAGTATCCAGTGTCCTGTATCCTGTTATTCTGTATCTCTGAATTCTTTTTGCAAAAAACCTATCAAAGCAGCGCAATAACTTGCAGCATGCAAATTATAAGACCAAAACATGGTTGAAGATTACAAAATACTTGAAAACAGCAACGTTTGTGTTGCATAAATTGCTTTAAGCATGCAATGAGTTTAATAAACCACCTTTTCCTTTGAAAGGGTAAATTCATAACTTAAGGCCAAAAAATTATGAATTATATATTATATATGCAATTAATTGGGATTCTTAAATCTTGGGCAATTTAGTTTTTAATTGTTTAGAACGCTGGAAAAAAAATTGTATGGCTTTATAAATCTTTTTGGATATAAGCTTATTGATTTTTAAATACCAAACTTTTCATGATAACTCGATAATTTTGGGACATCTAATAGTTTTGGGACATCTAATTATTTTTGGACACTATACAATCAATAGGTTCAAATATTTCAAGGTAATATGAAATATAACAAAAAATATTATTATCAATAAGTTTTAGTTTTTCTTCTCTTTCATTTTCCCGGTTCTTTGAATGACACGGAAGTCAATTTATCAATTAAAACACGGGGGAGGAGGAAGAGNGGGGGGGAGGGGGTGTTGGCAAAAATGAGTTTATTCCATAAACTTCTTATTTATGTCAAATAAGGTTTGGCCGCTTAAGAAAACCCGCTATTTCATTAAAAACTCTTAAAATAAGATTTTTCGACACGCTACTCTAAATAAATCGAGGTTTTGGCGTGCTGCTGGCGCCCCTAAATATTTTCTATATGGCTGTTAGAATCTTTTTATATATTTAGATTATCCCTAAACCGCTGTGCTTTATTGTACTTTTGCTATATAAAGTATATGCTTTTCTTCCGAAATACTCACTGTGACAAAGACGACATCTAAATATATTGCGGGATTACAGGATCCATTCAAGGATAAATATATGAAAGGAGAAAGTAATTATAAATTGAAATCATTATAAATCAATGCAAGATACAATTAATACAATGTTTGTATATGAAAAGATCAGAATTAGAATATATT